GCTCATCATCAAATTCATAGTTATTCAAAGGTGTGTATTTATGTTCTTTGTTTGTGAGCTTAATTTGCTGATTCTAATCCACCGATTAATAAATGATGCTTGGATTCTGACAGAAACGGGTCTAATTAGATAAGGAACTCTAAATTATTTATGATGCAATCGATGCTGAAGAAAAAATTGCATAATTCTTTATATGACCAAGATAATCCAGGTTCAAAAGGATCTTTCACTATAATTATGTATGAAAGTGGCCTGGTTAATTAACAAGTATTTAAATGTTTTAAATGTGTATAAGTGTGTATAAGTGTGTAGTGTTATTCAATTAATATGGGCCAAAAGAAGCAAAAAAATTATTTATTTAGTGTAATGTAACAACATATTTTGTAATTTTTTTTTTTAACTTAATAAAATTACAGATACATAAACTATAAAAGCAATCCAGAAACTCAGCTTTCATCAAAACAACTTGGTAAATTTTTATATTAAGAAGTTTACCCAGTTAGAGATTAGATCGAATAATGTGCTTGCATTAAATAATTGTGAGGAAACTTGATCGAAAAATAGCGCAGACAACGTCACTTTGTTTGCGTTAAAGACAATTAGTGCTGCACACATCTAATTAAAAAGAGGTGTAAATAAAAATGGTAATTAAACCTACATACACTTACTGAAAACTCCAAAAGAAATTAACCTGAAGAATTCTTAGTAAATTGATATCCAGTCTAAACGACCTAATTCGTTCACTATTCGCTGCAAGAGACCCAATTATAATGCCTAGGGCTAGTGAACCCTATGTAAAAGTTGTTTAGTCAAGTTGAAAAAAGTTTCAGAATCATCAAACTAACCAGAAAAATAATCAACGTCATAGTCATTTTCATCGAAAAATTGCTGAATCGTATCAACCAAAAACGTACATATTTATTGTTAAAAAAAACTCGTGGAATGGTAAATAAATATTATTAGTGAATTAACGTAGATCTTAACTCTCAGAATTGAAAATGAACAACCAAGTTCTTACTAAAATTAAAGAATCAACATAAAGTTAATGACGCCTAATTAAATTTATGAATACATCGGAATAAGTAAAGTAACAAAACTATCCAAATGATTGAATATGTTAAAAGGATATAGGTGAAGTATGTATGTTTTGAAAATTTTCTTTCTTTGACACAATCCCGCTGCTACATAATATACTGGACATTATGCAACTAACAAGTTAAATATTAAAATTATTAAAATAATAAATTGAATGTTAATTTATAAAGCTTTTATAATCATACTTACGTTAAACATTCTTCTTTCTTGTGCCGATAACCCTTATAAAGTCATAATCGAGGGTATAAACTTTGAAGATTGGCTGAAGTGAAAAAAAATTCAGAGCTAGCTAGCCTTTGTAAATATCCGGCAACAATCTACGGCAATATTTAGTAAATATAAAGCGGTATTGAGTATATAGCAAATATGTAATGTATGATTAGTAAAGTATGTATAGTAGAAATTAAGATAGTAAGTATAGTTCGTAAAAGAAATTTTTTGAGATTTTACCTATAACCTATCCAACTCTAACATGAAAAAGAACAATATTAGTATTCGCCCTCATTCTAAATATTAAAAGGAGTTACTTATAAAAGATAGATTTTATAAGTTTTGCTAACCATACATCTTTTTGTAAAATTTTTTTTGCTTACATTACTTAATTATAAGTTTATACAATACATATTTACAGCAATTGTCTTTTATGTAAAGTTAATTTTTGTTTTGCGCTGAGTGACCTTATATATTTAACAATTACGTATTTAATGTGAAACGTTGTATAAAACTTTAAATTTTAAATGTTTGTACAAAAGTAGCTTACAAACAATAGAATGCTACTCAAACTTCCACAAAATTTAAAACATATATTTATTTAGTAAAAATCGATTTTCTTTATCAAATCTTGGAACTATATGTACTTCTTTATAAATGGAATCTATTGGAATTATATCATAATCTTTTGCATAAAATAGCTGTGGACAACCATATAATTCCGGTTCACTTGGCTCAATGTCATACCAACGAATCATTGCAAGGTCATATGGATCCTTTGTTGATTCTCGAAAGAATCTCAGGAACATTAATATCTTCCCATACCACATACCTTTGTCTGACTCATACTGAACTTGGTCTTCTGCAGCAGATACTGAAATGTTACTAAACCACTCTTTACCCTGAAAGCTATCTGACGTTCTCAAAATTTCACCACTTTCCAGATGAACCGTATTATAGACTTTTATGTAAAAGTCTTTACTTTCTGAATCCTGTGAAGATGTGTCAAGGAAAGCATCAAGTGCAGAAATTATTTCAGACAACCCTTCAATATAATTTGGGTGTGTCTGGTTCAAGTTTTTTAACGAGTTTACTTTTGCATTGATAGCGTCTAGCTTCAACTCCCATAGCACCTTGCCAAACCCTTCAGTTTTGCAACGAATAGCTTTACTTACTATGGGCGTTAATTCTTTATGCTTCATCTTTAAATATAATTATAATGAATATTATGAAATCGGCCAATATTATTGATGTTAATGGTCGAGCCAATTGATCTTTCTTTATGTAAGACCAGTGTTTTTAACCACTGGTCTGATATAAAAAAAGACCAATTAGTCTGCATCCTTATTTCTTACCGCACTTATTAATTGCTTCATAATATTTTTTCTATTCAAAGATCTATATGGATTTTTCACGTATGTTTTATGAAGAGTCTCATACATTTTCGTTGACAATCCATTTAATGCGCCGTATTTGTGGATAGTTGGAATCATGTGATACCGCCAACTATGTAGTTTTGGATATCCACATTTTGAGACTGAAGAAAATATTCTTTTGAATTCATTGCACCATTCAATAATTAGGGCCTATATCAAAATTCTTCTTATTATCTAACCAAGTGGTTAATTTAATCGATGAACTATTACTGATATCATACCTCAAAATTTTTCAGATCTGTTTCAGTAAACGATTCCTGCCAGCTCATTATATACATTTGGCTGAATTTGGTATATAACTCGCTAAGCTCTTTGCAAGTTATATGATTCCATCTATCAAAGATATCATCGAGAGCAAAAAGCGTAACCCTCATTATGTGCCGATAGTCGGCAACAGTCATCACTTTTAATTGACCTAATTTGCTAAATAGTTTTAGCTTAGGGAAGTGAGGAATCTGACGAAGTCAATTATCAAAATTTCTTTGTAGTTCTGTTCTCCCGATTTTTTTTAAAATTTCTTGCGTGAAATCAAATTGGTACTTAAACAGACCGAGGTCAATATGATGCATATGATCAGGAATACATGCTTCATATATATTTAAGTTCCTTTAAATCATAATTTTAATAAGTTTTTTTTTTTTTTTGACAGGTCTTTAAGGGGTTGTCTAAAGCGAAGTATAATCACTATAGAATTTTGATAATTGCTGGCAAAGCAAAACAAAAAATACAAAGAAAAACCCTGAAAAATGCAAAAAACGGCAGTCTAAACCTACCCCAGGTAGGTTAAAAATGTTGGGAAGGCAATTTTGCTTAAATATAACTACCTACTATTCCTTCTCGATTAAAACTGTACACCCCGCTGTCTTTTTCAATAGAAGTTATAATATATTCCGAAGCTTTTATCTCAATACCTATATTTGGCTTAAAAAGTTCTTTGCCTGCCGATGGTTCAGTTTTACAAATTATACTTATCACTCCTAACACGCTCTAAAACCTAACATAACTCTAATATAAGATGACTCTAACCCTAGAGTTAATTCATTAAAATATATATTATAAAAATCTGCTCCGCTTTAGACGTCTCCCGTATAAAGATACGACCAAAAAAAAAAACATACGAGAATTTCCAAAAGGTATTTTTAACATTATGAACAGAAAATTCCTTTCCACGGTCATCATTAAAAATTCGCTGCATATATTCTGGAGTTCTGGGGATCATTTGTTCTAAAGGAAGGTTCATATGGTTTAATTCATTTTTCTGAACCATGCAGTTGTGACATGGCATATTGCAGTTTGCTGATTTATAAGTAGCAGTTATTTCACTGGCCTCAAGCATATCTGCAAGAAAAACCGAGATTCGTGCAGCAAAAACTCTTGGTCGCCCTTGAACCCCAAAATATAATCCATCTGGCTTTTTTAGCAAAGGGTCAAGCATAATTGCTAGGCACTTGTGATATATCTTACGTTGAAAGCTTCGAAATGCATCATTAGTTATGGCCGTGGTATCTTGAAATTTTGGCAAAAATCCCAGAAGAACTTTGGAATCTGGAGAATTTTAAAGCCAATTTTGAAGATTTCCAAGTGTTAAAAAGACTTGATGCCCGAAAGTCTTACCAAGGTTATCGAAGGTCATTGCATCTGAATATAAAATGACTGATAACAAATGATTCATCGGGGGAATTGTTTTTTCTGTTTTGTGCTACCAATTATATTCATACTGTTCTCCAAACACTCTTACTTCAATATTATTGTCCTGCGAGAAGTTAAAAGAAAATAAAATGATAAAAAAAAACATATACCGTAATAGCAAGCATGGGTGTTACTTCGAATTTCAGCCCGAATTAAGTTTAATTCACGTCGAACTTCGAAATAACACCCAAGCCTGCTAAGTTAAAAAATATATATATATTAAAAAAATGTATTTAATTAAAAAAAAATATATATTATTAAAAAAAAAAAAAGAAAAGAGATTAATTAAACTTGAACATACTTTCTTTTTCTTTAGAGTCCCGCATAAAGCGAAGTTTTCTGTTATTCTTGGTCGTTCTAGAAGTGTTTGGATAGCACGAAAAATTGGACGATAATGAAGTATAATATCGATTCCAGAGTGTTTTTCAACAACCTTCTCTTTAAAATCTATAGAGGGTAATCTTATTTGACTAAGATAATCTTTGCTGCTTTTTGTCGACTTCGGTAATGGCGATTCTTTCAAATTACTGTGTTTATTAAAGAACTTGATTATCTTGTCCCCAATTTTATTAGAAAGATTACCGTCTATAACTAATTCTATAAAATCATGGTAAGTGTCATTGGGCCATCCCGCCAAGATTTGTGGTTTATTTTTCCCTTCGATACTATCTAGAGCATCATTAATGATCGCCCCCTGAACATCCTCAAGAACTGATCTAATATTACTCGTATGTGATAAATCTTCCAAACTTTCTTTAGAGGCCTCAGCAACTTTCCCGAAATTACTTGGAACTTCTTTATTTTCATAATTATTATTATCTTCGTAGACTATAATGCAATATAACTTAAGGGATTGGAATTGGTTCAGCTGACTATAAAATTATTCTACTACGTTTAGTCAACCAAATATAAACCAATTCCAATCCCTAAAAGTAACTTACTATCTACGACCAACTGTGTTATGTTTTCAAGCATAGATAAAGAACCATCGTTTAAAGATTCTTCAACTGACATATCACTAAAATTTTCATCGTTATGGCCCTGTTCTTCAATATCATCCTATTATTGCAAAAAAAAAAATTTAATTTATTTAATCATTTATTATTATTTAATACTGTAGATCAATTATACTATACTTCTTCCATATTCGATGTATGAATTTCTGTTAACATTGATGGTCTTTGCATCCTCACAACAGGAGTATCCCACAAATTCGTGTCATGTTGAAGCTCTTCTAATCTTTGATGCTGATTTACATAACTAACTCTCCGACAAAGAATTCCTCTCTGGTGCTTCATATTCATATGCTGTGTCAACCCATATGCAGTAATAAATCGTTTTGAGCAAACTCTGCAATTAAATGACATTTTTTCTTAATCAATTTAATCAATTTAATCAATTTAAAAATTTTGTGTAGTTAAAAAAAAAAAGTTCTTGTTTTTATACGATTTCGGAAATTCAAAATTGTTAGATTCAGAGGTATAGATACATGGTTCTACTACAAAATAACGATATCCAAAATCTCGACAGGTCATAATACTGACATCGCGCGACGTGACAATTAAAATTAAAGATTGACAATGATTGTTAATGTGATTACTAATCTTTAAATATTAATTGTTACGTCTGGATTATGGTTTCGAGATTTTGTCGGGGCTTTGTAGTAGAACCTAGATAATATGTAATCATGATATGAGAAATATTAACAAATAGGTTGAGATCGAGTGATATCATTGAATTATGTCTTATCAGTTATAAGTAAATTTT